GGAAAGAGGCTCGCTGGCTAGGGCCTGAGCACCCTGCAGAGAGAGCACTGTTTTTTTGTTTTGCTTTGTTTTGTTTAGTTTTTTAGTTTTTTTTTTTTTTGTCATAGGGCATGCGTGCTCGCCGGAGAGAGACAGAGAGGCAGAGTGAGAAATCACCCTGCACGGCGGATGGCCATGCCACAGTCCTTCCCCTTCCGTTCTTCTCTCAGGATTTTGGGCACACATGCACATGCGTCTGGGACGATTTTCAAGCCACTAAGTCTGGGATTCAAACTGTGGTGGGCCAGGTGGGACCCTGCACCTTAGCCATCACGCCACCTGCCCCCAGGACACTGCTTACCGGTTTGGTTTAGGAGGGCTGTCGTCTTTTACTCGCTGTTCGGTGTGGGCTGTCAGCAGCACCCAGTTAGGCTGGCGTGATTCGCAGTGATGGCCGGGGCTTCCGGAGCAGCTGCCTCAGACAGAAGGGGACTTCAGGAAGTTCACACAAAATGCATATCACGAAGAGCCTATGCGTGGGTTTCATAATATTTTTGCACAAAAATAAACTTATACCTTAGTGCCTTTTCTCCGTGAACTTTTCGAAGTCCCCACATCCAACTTGGCTCGACCTCCAGAGCCCACACTCAGTGCCTGCATGGTGGGGTGCAGGCCCCTGGGTGTGGCCGTGGAGACCCAGTTTAGGTCCCAGCCTTCTGCTGGCTCCCCGTTTCTGTGGCTTCTCCGTTGACCTTCGTGCCCCCGTCCAGCAGACCGCTCCCCCATCTCCTCTCCCACCCCTGCCTTCCTGCACCTTTACCGCTCAGTCTTTCCTCATCTTTTAGTATCTGGCTCAAAAACCACAGTCCATACTAGATGTTCCAGGTCAGAAGCCACAACCCAGTCAACCCTCAGCAACCCCTTCCATGGGCGAGCTGGGCTCTTCTCGACTATCCACGGGCTCAGGTCTGGTTGGTGCCTCGTTCCCTATCATGGAGACTGGGCAGGGTAGGTATCGGCTTCCGTAGCAGACTTGATGCAGGCAGTGCCCCTCCTGGCCTTCTGCAGCCACAGCTGGGAGAAACGGGGACTAGGAACCCACAGGGCTGTGCCTCGCTGTCTGGAGGAGACCAGCCCATGCTGCTGAAGTTGCACTGGTGACCACCAGGGCAGTGCTTGGGGGCTGTTTGACATGCAGGGTCTGTGAGAAAGATGCCATTGCCTTTGGAGTTGGGTCGTGACTCTTTCCTGACGCCACTTCCCTTGTATTCGTCACCACTTCGATTTTGTGCACTGCAGTGTTCGTCTAGTGAAAACACCAGTCCTGCAGTTAGCCACTTGCCTGGAACAACAGACAATAAGGATATTTAATTTTCCCCCTGAGTTTAATTACTTGCTTGAATGTAGTCAGCCTGTGAGAATTTATCTGTAAGGCTGGTTCTCACTTGTCCTAGAGAAGGGTATTCGGCTTGCTTGGTTATTGATTAAAGAGAACCACAGCAAATAGTAATGGAAGATATTTAAACTCTCACAGAGTCAATATACCCAGTGACTAAGAAGGAAAGTCTAGAAACACTATTGCCTAAAAATGCCTAAGCCGTCGAGCTCACCATAGGGCTCGGGGAGTTTAATGTGGACAATAATTGCTCTAATTTTCTACCTTATTTGATATAAATTTTTATCTTCATGTACCACAACCCAGTGTCTCCCTGACCTGGGAGAATTAATGCTTACTGTGTTTCTACAAATACGTTAGCTTAGCTGTGTGCTGGGAATGTCAGGCCAGCCAGTGTACCAAGGATGGGGATAATCATTAGACTGAAGTGGGATTTCTTTCTTCTCTACCGTTCTTCTCCCATTTCTGTCACCTCAGATCATCCCAGTTCACTGCCATTGCCCTCTGCCAGGAAGGGATGGCCGGGGTGAGTGGAAGGTCTCAACAGGGGCCTGGATTCTAGAATCAGCTGCTGTTTACACGCAAGTTTCTCGGGCCAAGTAGACTCCCCACTCTGAGCTTCAGTTCCCTTATCTCCAGGGTGAGCAAGTTGCTCTCGATGGTCCCTTCGATCCTTGCCAGCCAGAGACGCCTTCCTAGCGGCTGTGC